TTGATTTAAATAAGAAACCTATTTAAGTAGACAGTGAGACGTCCCAAATTGCTAACAACTTAGGAACAATCTTGTTCAAACATGAATAAACTTCCTTATTTATGCAAAACTTCCTACTAAAATTGTCTTTCATACTAATTCTAACATGCAAATTACCTGTTTTTAACATTGCTTAAAATATACATTCATGCGATGGGTAAAAATTTAAAAAAAGGAAGAGGTGGTGTGTGAATCAGCATGAGGGGATTCTCGTTTGAGTTAAGTTTTTACAAAACAGAGATGAAATTTTTGAAAATTCATGCAATCACACTCCCAACCCAAACTGGACCTGAGTGCCTACCTTGGGCAGGGCTCTCTCTGGGAAGCCTTGCTAGACTTCTTGCCGAAGATCCAGTTCTTTCCACAAACTCTGTGGCACCCTCTCCCCCCTGCTCACTCTCCCTTAGCCCTTATCCCATATTTGTCATTGCTTATCTCCTCCACTTGTCTGTGAACTCAAAAAGGGCTGGGATCATGTTGTCTTTTCCATCACTGACTTCCCTGTTGGTTTCCAACTCATGGCACAGAGTAAGCATTCAGTAACACTCACCGAGTGAGTAATCCAACAACACAGAAGTTGCTGTCATTTAATGAGTAGCTATGTGCCAGGCACAGCACTGCAAAGTTGACAGTTCCTACTGGGTCTTAAATGATCTTCCAATAAACTCTGATTCTCCCCAAACTCACATTAAGATCCAAAGCCAGTTAATTGCCTCACCCAAGGGGAAACACCGCTTGTAACTAGAAACCCAGACTGTCTTTCTCCAGAAGGCCGACCACACAGAAGGACCTAGAGCAGTAACTCAGAGGAGAGCCATACCACGTCTGCCACGTAAGCCCCACCTGCTCTCTCTCTCACCTGTATCTTGAACATTTCATGCTCTGATCTTCAAACATACTTCCTTCCAACTTCCCTAAGACCCCACCTATCTGCCCAGCCTCTTTCAAGTCCAGCTCAAGTCCCCTTCCTCCAGAGGGCCTTCTCCAAGCCCCCCAATCCTAACTGCTTGCCCCCACAGAACTCACTGACTGGACAATCATCCAAAAATTAATAACAATAGTTCACATTTATGAAGCACTTACAATGTACCAGGCACTGCACTAGGCACTTCATATGTATTAACTTCATATGTATTAACTCATTTTAATTTTCACAATAAGCCTACAAGATGGGTATAATTATTTCCATTTTACAATAAGGAAACTGAAATGTACAAAGATTAAGTAACTTGTCCTGTGTAGAAGGGAGGGACGGCCGCAGGACTGAAACCCTGTTCTGGATGACTCTAGGGGCTAGGCCTCACTCTTGTGCAGTTTAATTTTTATGTATTTGTTTTGTCTCCCCACTTAGACCACAAGCATTGTGAGCAAGGACCCTGTTTCCTCCACACTGTGCCACTCTTTTGTGGTGGGCTCAATAAAACATTAGCTGAATGACTAAAGGACGAAAAGTCAGAGATCCCATCAGAAAAGATACACTTAACAAAACACTATATATGTTTGATTTGAGGCTTTGATTCCCAGGGGCAGACCTTTTAAAAAATTGCCAGTCCCAACAATCAACTCTCAACCGTAATTTGAAAAGAAAAGACTCAAATTCTGAAGGATGTCTTCCATTGAATTAATTAGTTAGAAGTAGATAAATCTTTCTTCCCTTATCCTCCTGGAATAAATCTGCCCTCAAAGGGTGAAACTGGCTGAAATTTAAAAAGAACCAGCCCCTGGCAGATGACCTAGGACTAGGCCCTCAACAAATATTTAATTGTACCAAATGGAAAGTGCTCTACTTGTACTTTGGACAAACTGTGCTAACACGATCTAGTCCAACCTAGGAACTAACTACAAGATTTCACTCTTATGACATGTGGCAACAGGCTAACAAAATGGATCACTGCAAAACTTACTGTCCAGTCATTACTATACTGAGGGAAGACTCATTTCTGAAAAGGGAAGCAAGAGTTACGTTACAGTTTGTTTTTGATCAAGGTATGAATTTCTCTCTTAAGCTCAAAATGTAATGTATCAGCTCCATAACACATTTTCAAATACTAATCTTGAAAATCTTATATATTTTTTCCTTGTACTAGTAAACAGGAAGTGAGGAGAAACCATTAATTAAACAATAAGGACAAGTCTACATGTAAAGCTCATTTAAATGAGTATGTTTATCCGGTCTACCCTAAAAAGAAATTTGAAGATTTGAAGGCTGAACCAAGTGAACAAAGAAAACCTATAAAGTGATAATATCAAAGTAGTTGAAAACAGCAACACTGAAAAAAGGTCATGTCAGCACCTGCACATAGGATAATCCAGACTATTAGGCTAACTGCAATACTCGATCAGAAAAATGCTAACTGGGAAAAAAAAGAAAAAAAAGGAAAATGCTAATTGGGCACACAAATTAAAAGGAGTAGAGAGAAAAGTTAATGAAATGAACTGATGAATGGTAAAAGTAGTTTACAGAAGAAAATACCAGGAAAATAAGTAGAACTGAAAAAATGGAAACCAATCTTGGGCTAGGCAAAAACATTCTTTAAATACCACAAGAATGGCTTATTTATCATTATGTACGAGTTGGTTTCCAAGAGCGAATGTAAAAAGGAAAAAGTTAGCCCAAGTTTTTTTTTTTCCGGGATTTAACCTCCTGTCAAGGTAAACTGGGAGGTATCACAGCTGAAAACACTAACTCTAATCCAATAAAAACATTAGTTTTCTAAATGCTATGGATCAGGTACTAGGACCAGATGAACATAATCCACTTTTTCTCACCTCATCCAAGTAGAGAAGCTGGATATTACAGAGTCAGAGTCAGACAATTTACATGGGTAGTTTGGGTGATACATAGTTATAAAAAGATAATGAGGACAGACAACACAAGCCTCAGGATAAAAATGAGTCTTTACTGGGAGAGTATGAAAGCTATCTTCCTTTCTCTAAGTACTTACTTCTGTATATCTCAACCTGATAGGTAAAGGATGTAAATAATGTAATATATTTTGTATTCCCAATTATCTCAGTATTAACCTGTACTCAATGTTAAAATTAAATGATTCTTGGTAATTTAAGCTAAGGAATAATATAAAATGTAAATGCCAGTGTTTTTATAAATCTTGGTTAACATAAAGTTGTAGAATTTGTATAAGAAGGGGAAATTAAAAGTTGTCCTAAAGTCTAAAGTTGTCATCTCCTTCATGTGTAACACTGCTCCTCATTCACGAAAACATTCTTTGATTTGATACCCGTTTTCCCAAGAACTTGTGGTAGAGCTTAAATGATTTTTAAACATGTCCCACATATCACTTAAAATAACAATTGTACTAAAGTTTTGTTTTCATTCTTCATTCTAAAAATCCATTTTATTTTTATCTGACCATAAAAATGGTTCTATTGCCACTAGGGTTGTTTTTGTTTTTCTTAGTTGTGTGGATTTCAAGGTGCTCTATCACACAATCTAAACATAGAAAGAGAATGACATTTTTTAAATTAGCAAAGTACAGGTTTCTTTCACAGGATGCATTTTCCAACGTGGGCAGCTCTCCCTGAGTAAAGCAAACTAGACTTCTTATTATGAAAACAACAGCACAGCATTTTCTTTGTAGTTACTTGTCTTCTGCTAGTCTGGGTATCTGAATGCCTCTCTACGCGGGTGTCTAAAATCCTCAAAGGGCAGAGTCCAGGAAGGGAAGGCGAGAAAGGAAACAGATGGTCTCGCCGCCCGGCCGAGGACTCGGAAGGGTCCCGACCACGCTCGACCAGACCCTCCGAGCTCCCATCTGTCTCCCAACAATCATTACGGTGCAGCCGAGCTCGGCCTCGAGGCCTGCGAAGGCAAAGCCAGCAGGATTACGAAACAGGGTCCGGGGGACAGCGTCCGCCAGAGCCGCCCCCTCCAACCGCAGCAGGGGCACACCTTCCTGCCCACCCCACCTTCCACAGTCAACACGACCGCGAGCCAAACCCAGCCCAGGTCATGTCTGGCCGTCGCTTTTGTCCTGCTCCACGCTGACCACCTTTTTCCGGAGCAGGTTAACGGTCCGGAGTCCGGGGGTGCGCCCTGCGGCCCCGCCAGGTGCTCCGCGCCCCCTGTCCCCCTCTGGCAGGCAGGCGACCCCCGCGCCGGCCCGGAGCGCGCGTCCCGCCCGGGCACCCCCGCCCACCCTCCCGCAGCCGCACAGGGGCCCGCGCCCGCCCGGGGCAGGACGGCGCCGAGGGGGCCTGCCCTGAGCCAGGCCCGAGGCCCGGGCGCCCCGACGGCCCCGACGGCCCCGCCGGCGCCCCGGAGCGCCCGCCCCGGCCTGCCACCCCCCCACCCCCCGCGGGATCCCGGCCGCCGAGGCCCGAGCCGAGGCCGCAGGGAGCGTAGGCCGCCGCCAGCCCCGGCCTGTCGTGAGCCCGCTGCCCGCGGCCTTACCGCCTCCACGGCGTGCTGCAGGATGGAGGTGAACTTGGAGAACATCTTGTCCCGGGACTGCAGCAGCCTCTCCCGGGACGACCTGGAGAGCTCCTCGATCCGCCGCCGCCGCCCCTGCTGCGGCTGCCGGGGCCGCTCCAGAGTGAAGGCCGGTGCGGGGCGGGCAGGACGAGCAGAGGGCCGAGGCGGGCTCGGGCCCGGCCGCTTCGGGGGTGCGCGGGCGGCGCGGCGGCGGCTCCGGCGGGCGCTGGGGCGCGGCGGGCGGCGAGCAGGGCGTTCGGCTCCGACTCGGGGCCCCGCGACGCTCCGGCGGCGGCGGCTGCGGCTCCGGTTCGGACACGGTGGCAGCCCGGCTCGGGTTCCTTCCGCCCGCTCTGCCCGCCGCGGCCTGCAGGGGGCGCCGCCGCGGCCCGGGGAGGGCCCGACCCGGCCTGCCCAGCCGCGCGCCGGCTGCACGCCGCGGGGGCGGGAGAGGCGCGGGGAGGTCGCGGGGGGCGGGAACCGGACGGGCTCAGCCGCCGCTCTCTCCCGGCTCCCGGGCGCCTCCGACACCGTGGTCCTCAAGTTTGAAAAATTCCGGCAACCTCCCGGTTTTGTTTCTGCGGGGGAAGTAACAGGCGGATTTTGTAGGGAAACGTAGCCATACTCGTGTGTAACGTGCAGAGGTTCGTCTTTTAAGAGCAGACTGGGGAGGCTGGTAAGAAACAGTACAGTATTCCTAATCAAAAACGATTCGTGCCTTTAAATGCTAAGAATTAGAACGCATCAACGAATGTTGGTGAAATAGCTTTGCTACCTGGAAAATAGATCATTATCATCGTTAACATTATTAATTGTTAATTATTCACCGTTAAAACAGGAAGCCCCAGATGGACAAATGGGAAGATGGCTCAGTCAATAATGTGTGTGACTTGTCTGATAGGTGCAGAGCATGGTTCACGTTCGTGTTTTCTGTTCTGTTTATCAGACGATACTGGACAACAGTGAGGGACAGAATCTGAAGCGATTCTGCTCAATGCACAGGACTGGTAAGTGGGGCTACAATGTAAGTCCTTGGCGGCGGCTTCTGAAAAGTACTGCGCAACAGTGTATTAGCCGAGCTTTGGAGCAGCACAATGGCGGTGGCAGAGTTTAGGTTGGGTGGATAAAAGTTATGAAAACGTTCATATCCTGGAGAACGTTGTGTTTGTTTTGGCTAGTATTGGTCTTGTATCAAAAGGACCGTTAACTTCTTGATCAGGCGAGGGTGGAGTCAGTTTTTGCATAACCCGTGATGATAAGAAGGATTTGTAATTGAGTTTGTTGAACAGAAAAAAAGCCGGAGAAGTAGCTGCAGCGTGGAGTGGTGTTAAGAGCTGGTCTCTGGAGGTGGGTGGTCTGAATGGAAATCCCTGCGTTACCACTCACCATGGCAAGTTTTTAAATCTCTTTTGTGCTTTAGTTTCTTCATCTGCGAAATTGGGGGAGAATAAGCAGATACTGCATGAGGTTGTGTGGACATATATTAACATATGGAAAACACTTTAACCATGTCCAGTCCATAGTAAGCAATACACTGGCATTTGTTATTACCATTATTATTAGCAGTAAAATAGTATTTAACAAACCAATAGGGCCAGAAATCAAGGTTTAAGGAGAACACTTTTTTTTTTTTTTTTTTTTTTTTTTTTTTAAGATTGAGAGACAGCAGGGACAGAGGGAGAAGGAGAAGCAGACTCCCTGCTGAGCAAAGCTCCATCCCAGGACCCTGGGGTCAGGAACTGAGCTGAAGGCAGGTGCTCAACCCACTAAGCCACCCAGGCTCTCCAAGGAGGACTCTTGATTCATCTTCCTTGACCTTCAGTGGGGTTATGTCCCCATAACTCCATCATAAGTTGAAAATATCTTAAGTCGAAATGCATTTAATATACTTCACCTACAGAACATCACAGCTTAGTCTACCTGTCTACCTAAATGTGCTCAGAACAAACACTTATATTAACCTACAGATGGTCAGAATCATCTAGCACAAAGCCTATTTTATAGTAGTGCTGAATACCTCATGTAGCTCATTGAAAACTGTACTGAAAGTGGAACACAGAATGGTTTTAAGTGCATCAGTTGATTACCCCTGTGATCGAGTGGCCCCCCTGGGAGCCGTGGTTGCTGCCGCTGCCCCGCATCACAAGAGTAGCCCACGGCATACCACTGGCCTGGGAACACATCCAGTTCCAAGTATGGTTTCTACTCAATGCCTATCACCCTTGCACCATCATAAAGTCAAAAAATCATAAGTAAAACCATTGTAAAGTGGGAACTGTAGTTTTCTCGTCTTTTTTACTCTGTTTTTGTTGCTTATATCCTGGCAAAGCAGGTAAATGTGACTTTAATTTCGTGTGTCCTATCTCCAGAATGCTGGGACCATCCTCTGTTCTTTGCTAAAAATTGAAATGTGTTTCCTACCAAATTCTGGCTAATGGTGTCTGCTTCAACCAAGAGGACGTATTTTTTATTATTCACACAGCTTGAGGTGCCTAGTCATATTATTAACCATAATGATCTTCCTGACCTAATAAATACATTTATGTGGTATTTTGTATTTTCATAATGCCTTACAACCACTAATTGTATAAGAGGGTCTGCTTAACACAGGCTATTTAGACTCATTTGCATTTGATGATGCTTGTCTTTGTATACTTATTATGGACGTAATAAAAATGTTTTGCTCAAGATTAATATCAATATTTAGGAAGATGATTCATCTCTCTGATATCTAGGTTCCAAGACATACAAGTTGGACTAGAATGATAATTGAGCAGATACCCTTAACCTCTCATCCTAGAAAGTCTGTAGTGACACTAACATTATCACCAACCTTATGCATGGGCAGGGTTGGGCCTCCTGAAACAAAGTGTGTTTTGAAAAAGCATAATACAGGCTTCTCTAGCCTCTAAGCCACTTAGATATGGGAACCTGAAAATCCTCAATTAGGACTTTATTTCCTTATCCCTTTGACTTAAGTCAAATGAGAAATTTAGTCCTCGCTAAAAATTAAAATACTCCTTAGGAGAGAGAACACACCAATTTCTATCGCTCATTACACTTCAGAGTGAATGAGTTTGTTAAATTCTTTACTGAACGAAGTTTAATCAGCGAGGACATAGAAAAATCCACAAAACTGAAACTCAATCTGGATGAAGTTGAACAGAGAGGAGAGAGAGTTAGATGACACCTACTTCCAAAGTTTGGCAGACTTCTGGTTAAATAGATAGATTGAATTTAGCAACATTTCCTTCCTAAATGCTACTAGAATTACAGTAAAGAGATTTCTCAGAATGTAAGCCCAAAAGGACAAACAAATTCAGAGAGGAAATGTCAACAAAATTTTGAGAATTGGAAAGTAGTGGTAAAGGGAATAACTGATATAGTTCCTTAGGAAAGCTGAATCCTAAGGCAGCAATTAAGAAAACTAAGATCCAAAGTGATATATTCATACATTTATAGAGCCTCAATGACTCTGAAATTAGCAGTAAGTACCTCTGGAAATAGAGGTAAAAGTGGGACTAAAAATAGCAGGATGGATTGAAAACTTGTTTAGAAGTAGATAGATCATCCCCAAGGCACAAGATTGGCTGACTCCCCTTTTTCCACTCTGGTTTCAGAGTAGAGTCTAATTCTGGGGAAAATCAGAGGCTCCATATTGATAGGGGGTGGAAGGGAAGAAGAAGATAAAGTTGATGTGGGAATCAAAGGCAAAAGAAAAAAATAAATTTCCTTACTGCCTACAGCCCATTGACAAACTCATGAAACCAGTAGAGCAACCTTCCCCTGGGAGCTCAGCTGCTGTGATATTAACACTTGGCTAAGGGCAAAAGGCAACCTTAGCCAGACATCGAGGATCCTATAAGTCTTCTTTAATATATAAAAGTTCCTTTGGAGACTTTCTTTATCACTACCCCCATGCTAGCAATCATCCTCCAAGCATGTGGCCCATTGATATACATCTGAAGGGTCTCATGACTGAGGGTTGGCAAAACAGAAATAAATGACCTTTTCCTAATAATAGCTAGGCCTCCAGTATTCTGTGAGTCTCCTTTTATATGTGAAAGTCCTTTTGGAAACCTCCCTTTATCTTTACCTCCCCCACCCCCACCAAAATCAGCTATTCCTCACAACCCCACCACAGCTCTTTCTGCCCACAGGTCCCATCCCTGTGCTTTAATAAAACCACCTTTTAGCACTGAGGACATCTCAAGAATTCTTTCTTGGCTATTGGCTCCAGATCCCAAGCTTCAAATCACAGCAAAGTGAAGGTAGATATTGTGTATATCAAACACATCCCCAACCTTCATCCTCTTCTTGGCCCCCAGAATGAAAGCATCAAACTGATCACCCTCCCCTTCGGCCTCCAAGAAGATAGGTAGAGTCCTCTCTGGAGAATCAGATTAGTCTAAGAGAAAAGACCTAAAGATACTGAAGAGGGAACCTGGACAGCCCTACTGTGCAGCCTCTAGTTGACAAGCTCTGTACACGTGCTTGGAGCATCCACTGAGTGTCTTCATGAACCACTCGTAAATGGGATCAGGGAGGCTGGGTCATCAATGATTTGAGAAAAGTTAATGATAGAGATCAAAAGAAAAGGCAGAACAAAAAGGAAACTTGGAAGAAACAATTGCATTTGATAGGAATAGAGGAAGAAGAAAACTTAAAAAAATAATCATTAATATTCTCAGATAAAAGATACAGCATCTATGAAACAAGAATGGCATTCTATTTTTAAAACACACTTAGGGTACAAAAAACGAAATCTTAGGAATCAAGAATATGGTAACAGAAATGAAAAACAACATAAAAAGGATAGAAAATAAACTTGAAATATTTTCTCTAAGACTAGGTAAAAAATGATGTAGGGATGAGAAATGGGAAAGTTTTTCAAAAGTTAAGAGTGCTGGTCGAGTGTATCCAACATTTGAATAATTGGAGTGAACAGAGGGAGGAAATCATTGAACTTAAAATTCAATATAATTTTACAGATCTGAAAGACATGAATTTTTAGTTAAGTGCCAGAACAGTGAATGAAAATAGATTCACTCCAGTGGATGTTACTGTGAAATTCAGAACACTGAGTTCAGAGAAGATCCTACACAGTTTCCAATGAGAGAAAAAGAAAAGAAGTCCATATAGAGAATTAAGAATTACAACAGCATGGGAAGTAAGAAGGCACTAGGGCAATGCCTTTAAAATTCTGAAATAAAATAATTTCAATTGAATTCTATACAAAGAAACTGTCAAGTATGAGGATAAAGTAAGTCATTTCAGATGTATGGGGTATTGAATATTTCTCCTACCTTGCACTCTCTCAAGAAGCTCTCAGAAGATGTGCTTCATCAAACCTCCGGGAGTAAACCAAAGGGAAAAAGGATGAAGGAATCAGATCAGAAAACCTGTCATCAGAGGGAGGTGAAGGAAATTCCTAGGATGTTGGTTAAGCAGAATTCCAGGATAACTATATATCAAGTTGGGACAGCCAACCCACCTGTCCAGACTGGAGCAGGTCAGAAGAGATGTCCTCAAGAAGATAAAACTTCTAGATGGATTATCTATGTGTTTTAGAAGATTTACAAGATAGGAGAGTCTGAGGTTGAACTAGTGATAAATACAAAGAAAACCAAGACAAAAAAACAAAAAACAAAAAAACAAATGAGATCATTAGGAACACCAAGGAAAATAAAATATTCTGTAGGAACAAGTAATCGTAATACACACATAGCTCAACTAAAAATATGTATATATAACCATAGTAATGTAAATATAGATCTAATTAAAATTATGTTATTGCTGCTATATTGGGAAGATGAGATCATGGATATGTGGTGGAACTGGGGGCAGGGCATGTGCATGTATGTATGTGTGTGTGTGTGTGAGAGAGAGAGAGAGAGAGAGAGAGGCTAAATCATCATCTGTCATGAGGAAACATTATTACTGCTTAGAACAGAAATATCATGACATGAAATTATGGGCATATTATTTTTTTTTTAATTTTTTATTT